GTCCAAGATGTACTATCAGCATTATCAGTGGTTCTTTCACTTATATTTACTGTCATTTTTGTGTTGTTAGGATTACAAATTTCAACCCAGTTTTCTTGAGTCACCTTCATACAGCAGCAGATAGGGCCTGTCCTTCCTCACCAATAACCCTGTGTCCTTATGTCAACCCCAAGAGCAGGGTATAAGCCGTATCTAAATGGCTTTTGAATTCCAGACTCATGAGTATGAGGCAATGAATCATTAAAGACCACTTCTCTTTCCTTTGAGAGAATGACATGTCTTCAATATTTATGTAGCTTATTCTTATAAGCTTTCCTTAACAGTAAAGACTACATACACATAGTGGGAGGAGAGTGGACCTTTACAGGTAAAGGAAAACAACTTTAGAAATGAATTATTTTCTTTATTATTTTTACTGAGAGAAGTATTGAGAGATACCTATTTTCATAATCTGTGCCTAAATTATATTGCAACCATTTCCCTTTGTACTATATTTTCAATAATTAGAGAATATGTTATTCATTCACTTAAAAGTGCCTCTGTAAGCATAGCCTAAAACTGCAGAAAGATCTGGAAGGTCTGAACATAGTGTGCTTCAATACAGAAGCTTCTTTGGGCATGTTGCAAGGACCAGTCCTTGGAGAGGGACATCGTGCTTGGGAGGGTGGAGGGACAGCACCAGAGAAGAAGAGCCTTGATGAGATTAATTGATTCAGTGACTGTGGTAATGGGGGTAGGTGTGTCAGACAATAAGGTTAGTTCAGGACAGAGCAGGGCTCAGTGCTGTTGTACACAGGGTTATATGAGTCACAAACAACTTGATGGCACATAACAATATACTGCATTAATAATGTGAAATGTTGGGGGAAAATATAGTACTAGGTCACCATGAAAACTTATATTAAGGGGAAATGTAAAACAATGACATTTCTTTTTTTTTAATAAATAACATTTGAAACGGTTTACTCAGATGATCTGTTAAGAGAAATATAACTTTGAATAAATTTGTTCCACAGAAAATTAAGTTAGCTAAATTTGATATTGAAGGTGGTGGACAACTCTTGCAGAAAGGAATTGTTTGCAATATGTGTTTATACACTGTTCAGACTCTTATTTACGAACTTTACAAACAGTCATCTATTGTCCTTTTAGTTTAAGTTCCTTGCTAATTTGAGAAAATGAGCTTTTCCTCAGTGTCTCTCTCAAATCAACTTTGGAGGAAAGAGGGCATTATTTTTATCGTAGGAGTATGCAATGAGGGTTGCAGAGTGGATTATATTTGGGGGTAGGGGGTGGGGTTTGGGGAGGTGCGGGGGGAGGATTGTGTACCAATGAGGGAGTTTTTCTTTTGCTTTTCAAGGAGAGGAGCAAACGGGGGGGAGGGGTTTGTGCGGGGAGAAGGGTGCAACAATGAATGAATGGAATTCCAAAATCTCTGTAGATGTTCATTGAAATGAAAAATAAACAACCTAAATTAAAAAAAAAAGACAATGACATTTCTAATCCTTAAGATCTTTTCATGCAGGGAGACTCTTAAGTCTTAATCCATCTGTGGAAACTTTGTAAGGAAGATCTCTTTTAAAATGCTGTAATTTATAACTTGGTGGGGGGAAAACACCACACTGAGAAAGGTAGAGCATCAGAGAGAAAAGACCCTCAACAAGATGGAATGACAGTGACTAACAGTGGGCTCGAGTGTGGCTGAGATCGTGCAGGATAAGGCAAGGCTCAGCTCTCTGCTTCACAGGGTCGCTATGAGACTTTGTCAACTCGATGGCACCTAACAGCAATAACACATTTGTAACACAACTTTTACAGTAAGAGGAAGCTTAGGCAATTTATACAGATTTCACCTGGAAATTATTAAAAGTACAGTGATAAAATACACATGTGCCCACTTGTGTGAAGAGTCCTTCCCAAAAGCAAGGGAACATCCCTCTTGCTTCCCTCAGCTCCGATGGTCTGTGAGTAAGGAACTACACCATCAACCCAAAGGCAAGTGGTTCAAATCTACCAGCTGCTGCTTGGGAGGAAGGTGGGAAAGCTCCTTCTAGCCTCTGAAAACCCACAGGAGGGGCAGTTCTAAGTTGGTTCAGACTCCATAGCAATGAGAACTGTACAGCGCTGATTCTTTCACTTTGGATCATATGTGTTTCCTAGCAGCTCAGAGGCAGCAAGCCAGGAAGGATCCTGTTCGGAGCTGTGGGCTCCAACTTTACTCCTGATTGGTGTCTGGCCCAATCCCAAAGGACTGGGTCTCCTGCCCATAGCCCTGAGACCCAGGGGCAGGGCAGGCCCTCAGCCCTACAAGGAGGCCCTGCAGCCTGCTTTGTTAGTGCTGGGCACTGGGTTGACATTAAGCAGTCCTCAAATTCTGTGCAAAGAACATCGGAGCTCATGTAAAAATTCACACTGACTCAGCACATCTATGGTGAGTATCAGTTTGCATTTCTAGCAAGTTCCTGGTGTTTCTGGCTCACACCAAGTTCCTGAAGCACAGCATCACAGCCTTGGCTCTGCAGGGAGGACATTTAGAACAAGGATGTCCAGGCTTCCTTACTAAATGGAATCATGGGGTGGCAGCTAGAGTTTACACATCGACTGGTTTTTTAAATGCTTTCCAGCAATCAGTTAAGGCTGAAAAAAGCTGACCTAAGAGGCTAGGATCGATGCCTTTGAGTTGTGGTTCTGGAGAAGAGTGTTGAACATACGTGGACCGCCAGGAGAACAAACAGGTTGGTCCTGGAGGGGGTGAAATCAGGCTGCTCCCTGGAGGTAAGGATTTTGAACCTCTGTCTCACATACTTTGGGTACGTGGTCATGATAGACGAGTCCTTGCACCTCATGGACCTCATGCTTGGAAAAGTGGAGAAACAGCACAAAAGACACAGGATGAGATGGATTGGCTAAGTCAATGGGAAAACAGGATTAGGTCTGTCAGAGATGAAGAAATAGGGTCAAGTTAGGACAGGTTTCAGAGCTAATGTACATAGGGTCACTATGAGTCACAAGCAATTCAATGGCACATTCAACAAGAAGAGTCTAATTAATTGTAAAACAGGGTCCAGCCTCAAAAAAGTTCCTGTGGATGTGCAAACTCACCCCTGGTGTTCTCTTTCCTGTTTCTTGTCCTCCATAAATTCCTCTTTCCCCTAGTTAAAAAAACCACATGTTCATGGCAAGGTATTTCTCCTCTACGCTACCCCCATTTTAGCTACTGTTTTCAACAGGAGACAAGCAGCGTGCTTTTTCCTCTTCATGCATACCTGATGGTGCTCCCAGTCCTAACACAGGGTTGCAGACACCAAGGTGAGTGGTTCACTGTCTTGGGAGTTTGTGACACTACGTTTCACTTCCTTCGCCTGCCTTTGAAGGAGTGCTCCACTGCCCTCCCCTCGAGACTCACAGGCACCTTCAGGACTGTCTTCACTGGTTTCTGATGCAGTAAATCTTGACAGGAGCAGGCTGCCTCCTCTTTCCCCAAGGACCAGCTGGAGGTTTCAAACCATTGAGGTCAGTTCCCATTCACAGCCTCCACTGGGTTTCCAAAAATGTAAATCATAATGGAAGGAGACTTACCTTCTTTCTCCCTCAGAGCCACTGGTGGGTTTGAACCTCTGGAGATGCAAGGCCTTTGGGTTAGCAGTGTAACTCAGAATGGACATAGCAAAAGAACTCCCAGGACTCCTGAACAGATGCTTCCAAAACTCAACGCCAGCAAGCCAATCCTCCACTCCCATCCACCCTCCACTGGGTTCCCAAGATGCAGGTCTTCACACAAAACTGCCTCTTTCTCCTGCAAGCAGCTGGTGGACTCGAACCTCTGACCTGTGTTTTGTAGCCCAGCACATAGTGCGGTATATTACCAGGGCTCCTATTTAAAGAAGCACTCCAAGGAAGCAGTGACCTCATCCCAAAGGGAAGAAAGATAAGGGGTCTGGAGGGTCAAAGCTGATCAGTGACAGGACAGTGTGAGTGAACAGTTCCCAACACAAAGAGTGTCCTCGGCATCACTGAGCAAGAATCAATGAACTACCTTGTTGTGTGTAGTGTGTATCACCACAGACACAACAGAAAAACACCTGAGCAGAGCTTGTGGTACCAACACAGACACAACAGGAAGATGCCTGAGCAGAGCTTGTGTGTGTACCACTACAGACAAAGCAGGAAGACAACTGAGCAGTGATTGTGTGTGTACCAACACAGACAAAATGAGAACAAGACACCTGAGCAGTTCTGAGAGGTAGCAAAGTTTTTATAAAGTAGTTTAATAAATACGTTAAGGCTTCAGGTAGTTGACAGTCTAGTTTACCAGCACATACTAGTACATCCTAAGCATAACTCCCTTACATTCAAGAATTTAAAACCGAGCTAACCATCTTAGAGTAAAGGATACAAAATAATTCACTTGCCCTAGGCTCCCCCACCATTCAACTCACTTCCTTCCACCTGTATGTATGATGGACAAAGAATGATGGAAATTGTTTTTACAATTTGAGGGAGGAAAAAAACAGTTGACTGGCGTGATCTGAAATGTTCTACTTTTTCAGCAAAAAGCTTTCACTTTTTGTTGCCTTGCATGGTTAGAGATACAGCCTGCAACGAAGGCCAAGCCAGGCTTGAAAGCTCCAACAGCAGGAGTAACTAGAGGAAGTCCCCAGGGCAGGGCATAGGGAGAAGTTACTTCCACGCTTCCCAAACTGGAGAGAGGGACCCTGCCTCAAGGTAGTAACCAGCTAAGTTGTCCAGCGCAATTCCCACCTAGTCAAACACCCACTAAAGCATTCTGTACCAACGCTGTGGTAGTGTGACCCCAGCAGGGGTGATACTGGACACTGCTCAGGACCCAGCCTTCAAAACAGACTACCCACACGTGTGGACGGACAAGCCTGCTCACAATCAAGCTGGCTCACGAGTCCAGAGGGAGCAGCTAAGCAGCAACAAGAGGACATGTCTCCCCTCGCAAGACTCTTCCCAGCAGTGCCTGTCCCCTGCAGAGCCTAGATGGACTCAAGGATCCAGTCGCTGCTGGATAGGGCAGGGACAGGCGGTGGGGCATCCCTCGGGGTTCCCTGCTCCCTCCTGGCCTGGAGCCGGTCCTCCTGGATGTCATCATCCTCTTCCTCCTCCTCTTCCTCGAAGAAGCCGTTCTCCAGCACAGACAAGCTGTCAGGGCTGCAGGCGGCCTGGCACACACCCTTATACTCCTGGATGGACTCGTGCAGGCTGAAGAGCTGACAGAGCAGGGACATGTCCAGCTGCCGGAGGCCCACCTGTGGAGGGGCAGGGAACACAAAATGCACGTTAACCGGTAGTTCTCCCAGGTCTGCACACATAAGAACACCAGCCAGCTGCGAGGGCCGCACACACAACACAGGTGCTTTGCATCTCCAGACGTGTTTTCTTTTCACAATGTTTTCATTTTATTTGAATCAAAGTTGATAAATCATCTAGGATTTTCATTCAATCCTTCATTGATGTTTTACTTTAGGATATCAATTACAACTGTAATGAATTGCAATGTCAAACCAAACTCATAGTGTATATTGCTTTTCCTTGCACCTTATTTCTCTCTTAATTGTTCACACTCTCCTTCCTCTCTTCTCTGCCCTGCTAACCCCCTGAGATTGATTCTGGGTGTAAACCTTTCCTTAACTTTCTACATCGTACTTGTCCTTTTGTGACTGACTGACATCACTCAGCATAAAATGTTCTAGATTCCAACACATTGGGCAGTCTTTCAGGGATTCCTGTTTTCTAGTGATGCATGGCACTCCATCATGTGACAGTCATCCATCCAGTGACAGACACCTGGGCTGTTTCCGGAAGGAATGCCACAGTAGACACGGGTGTGCATGCACTTCCAGTTTTGAGAAGACCTTAATTGTGCTTCCCCGCCCCTCAGTGTGTCAGGAGAGGATTATGATGGCGAGACGTGAGTTCCAGGTGTGGAATTCACTCGCTGCACCCCACTGCACCTGCTGATGCCACAGGATTGCACATCCGGTTTCACCTTGGACGCCCCAAACACAAGTGTGTCATTTCCTCTCCCTGTGGCCTGATAAAGGAGCAGCCACGCTGCCACAGCAGCAGGGTCCCAAGAAGCAAAGTCATCCTCACAACCTGAGCAGAAGGTGCCTCCTGCCCAGAACCCTCGGAGCAGCACTCCTGAACAGCCAGCCCCCAGGTTCTCCAGAGGCTGCAGTCTCTGAGTCTCTTGCTCTCAGCAAAGGTCACAGGACTATTCCTTGGAGTGACTAAAAAAGGCTAGTAAATTCAGGGCCCCTAGGGTTCTTCCTGGGAGCTCTGGTGGCTGAGTGGTAATGAGCTGTTCTGCTAGCCCAGAGACCAGAGGTTCAGATCCACTCCTTGGGAGAAAGATGGGCAGTCTCCTCCCATGTGATTGATAGCCTCTGAAAACCTGCTGCAGGGTCAGTTAGAAATCTGTTCACTGCTCCCCCAAACGTGGACGTTCTGATTCGACGGCAATGACATGACTTAAAGTTCTCCTGGAAACTCTTTCTCTTGTGGAGAAATCACAGGCATGACATTGACTTATCACTTTCTTTTCATTTTTCTCCCTCCCTCAGCCAGCCCAGGGAAACAGAGTCAGGCCAAAGTGTCTGTTATGTGACCCACACAAGGCAGAGGTAACCACCTGTCAAGGTGTCCTAAACATCTATGTGCATGAGAGCGCCTCAGAAACCTTGTTCAAAGTGCAGATTCTGGCTGTTGCTGGGCTTTTAGGATCCCTGTGATGCTGCCACAGCAGGCTGATGCACAGCCCCCTCTGTGAGCAGGGAAGAACTCTAACTATGGACCTGACTCCTGCTCGTGGACCTTGTTCTGTTACTTTGAGTCGGAACCGATGCATGGCTGACCCTCAGCGGGTTTGCAGAGGCTGTAAATTATTCAGGAGGCCAATGTCCCTCTTTCTCTTGTGGAGCAACTGATACTCAAACCACTTGCCTTTGATTTGGTATGCAACTTCTAACCCACAAGGGCACCAGAGCTCCTTAAGCCAGCTATTTCACATTTCTGTGCCTTGTTTGATATAAAAAAGGATTAATCATTTCTCTTAAGAAGTTGCTGGAGGGGATCACAAGAAATAGAAACAAACTGCAAGCAAATGCTTCCTGTACTATATACTGTACTGCACTAAAGGTAGATGCACATTATCAATTACACAGAAATGACCTAGTAAATCCTGCAAACAGGGTTGCCCCAGGCAGGTAGACTCACAAAGGGAAAGCGAGGCGCGGAGAGAAGCATGATTATGTGACGAGGTTGGGTGCAGAATTCCAGGTAATCAATCCTTCATATCCTTAACCAATGCAAATCACCAAGTAAACAGTGGTTGTGTCTTTTCTACAAATGGAATAAACAGTACAAAAATGGAAGGACGCTACACTTAGCATATTCTTCCAAGAAGCTCATAGAAGCAGTCTGTTGTCACTGCAGCAGCCCACATTACACTGGCAATCCTTCCACCCGAGAACCCCTGAAAGCTGGAATCAGGGGCTATGGCCCTCACCTCCAGCAGGCACAGCTGGATGGCTCCATGGTACGTCCTTGCCCTCTGTGGACCTCTACAATGAGAAGAGTGTGCTGCATCATTTAGCAGCTCAGGCACCTTGAAACATGACAGCAAACTGCTCTTTATCCTTCATTCTTTACAAAGGTTTGCAAGTGCAGGAAAGGTTTTCCCAAGAAGAAGGTGCAGATTCATGTAGTGGTGCTCTGCTCCCAGAAGTGCACCAGTCAGAGTGAGAAGCCAGACAAGGACTTAGGCACTCCCCTGCTTGCCAAAGGCCAGTGGCTTAAACCCAGAACGGGAGACGGCCTGCACCTGTCAAGATTACAGTCTCATAAGCACCATGTGCAGCAATCCTTGGACCGACAGAGCCTGTAGGAGTCAGAATCTACTTGACATCAATGGATCTCCCCCCTCCTCCTCCGCCACGCCAGTTTTAAGAGGTAGGAAGTTGGTGGGCCACCACAGCCTACCTGCCTGTGGTCAGACACCACCCTGTCCTTCCCGGAATTAGAGTGGGAATGCTCAGGGAGGCCACACCCTGACAGCTGTGTTTTCAAAACCACCCAGATGGTTCCAGTTAATAATAGAGCACCAGAATTCTGGACATAAATATAATTTCTGTCTTTCCCAGAAAACTTAGCAACTTCACTCACTACCATGGTATCTCATAGGTGACTTTCTAGTGGGCATTCCGAGGCTGAAAAGTGCATTGGGGGAAACTGCCCATCTTTCTCTTTTGGAACTGCTAATGGATTCGAAGTGCAGAGAAGCACCACCTACAGGTTAGCAGCGCAATCTCTACCCACTAGGCCACCAGAGTTCCCTCAGGCAATTTCTATCCCCCAATAATCACTCAATTTTAGACCAATACAGAAGAAGTATTGGGGCCTGTTTGCCTATGTTTAGAGCCTGGCTTAGCCATCTATTATCTGGGGGATCTCACTGCTAAAACAGCCACTGCTCTTGCTACTTCTCATGATCATTCCCTATTATACTGGCCTGCTGAATCCCATCTTGGGAGAAGGAGGGACAGGCCCTTCCTCTAGTCAGTGCAAAAGTGCAGATGCTGTCTAGGGAGCTTGAAGGCACTCCCATCTCCTATTAGGTCAGGGGACCTCGACTGCAGTCACACAAGATGAAAATGGACCAACGAAATGACTCTTGTGAGAAACAAAGTGGTCACTGCAGTTGTTGTTGTTGTTGTGTTCTGTTAGGATGGAACCAACCCATAGCTGATGGTCTGCAGGTTTTCAGAGGCAATTAATCACACAGGAGGACTGCCCATCTTTCTCCCACAGAGCAGCTGGTGGATTTGAATCGTGTGACCGTGTTAGGGATTACAATGCAGCTTCTAATCCCTAGGCTACCAGAGCTCCCTATCAACAAAGTTGAATTGTTGTTAGGTACCATCAAATCGACTACAATTCCTGTTGACAGATTGGAACCCTACCCTATCCTGTGCCATCCTCACTATCTCTGATAAGCTCAAGCCCACTGTCATTGTCACTGTGTGCACCTTCCACCTTTCCTCCTGACAACACGCCTGAAGTATGTAAGACGGTGTTTCACCATCCCTGCCTCTAACAAGCACCTGGTCTGCACCTCCTCTGAGACTGACTTCTTTTGGCAGCCAGACCCCACTGCTGTGGAGCTGACTGTCACACCAGGGGGGCTCCCAAGGCTGTAGATGTTTGCAGAGGACACTTCCTCAGACCTAGAAGGGGAGGAGACCAGTGCCTCCTATTTTAAAGTTTTAAAGGGTCATTTTAAAGGGGTTTCCCCCCCAAATAGATGAAATGGTCCCTTCACATAGTGAAAACCCACCAGCATTTAGGATCTACAGAACTTTCCCTGCACTGAATAAACTTTCAACACAAAACAAAGTCCAGGCTTTTGTAACCACTGTTTAAATATTTGAAGATAGTTTCACTCATTCACATCAACCCCTGAAAAGGCAAATCTCCATTCTAAGCTAACCAGCCTCCATTCTTTCCACTGTGGCATCTTGGCCCACTAGTCATCCAGGTTTCTCTCCTCTGGATTTGCTCTTCTATGGCATCTGGATAGGAATGCACTAACCAAGCCAGAATATTCAAAAGGAAATGAAAATATGTCTTTTCTAGGATTTAATTATCAAGATATAAACTTTAGTTAAAGAAGTCACAGCCTCCCTATATTTGCTCAACAAGTAAAGGAAACGCTCCACTCTGATAACCTACATCCCTCTGACTCATTGTGATATTGAGTCAGAACAGCCTCACAGCTGACCCTCCAGCAGGTTTCAGAGGCTGTAAAAGGCACGGGAAGAGACTGTCCAACTTTTGCCATGGAGTCTTAGTGGATTTGAGCCAGCAGAGGGAATGGCCCTAGGGTCAGCGTGCAAATTCCAGTGGACTAGGCTACCATCGCACCCTTTGATGCTCATAGGGTCAGAGAACTCTATTTCCTGCCAAAAGAGAGAATAATGGGAAATAAAGTAGCCTTCATTTTCACTTTTGAGCTCACACAAATCAAAGCAGAAGCCTGGGCCTTGGCTCTAAAAATCCCTTTTAGATTTCAAAGACTGCCTTCCTCTGACCTTTTGTTCACCAAGACTCAAGGCTTTTTCTCCTGCAGATACAGGGAGTAAGACTTTCACTTGAGCCAAACCATTTAGCTTTTGATCCTGGATTCCTTGGATGTGGAGTCAGAGAAGGAGAGAAAAGAGAAGACTTTCAACAAGACAGACTGATACAG